GGTTCGGTCGCGACGGTGCCGCTCGTTTGTCACTGACACCAATGTTCCACGGCGACATCGCCGGACATCCTTATGATTCTAACGAATGACTTAACTAACTCAACGCGATTCGATGGATTAAATCATTTTAAAAATTCGTAATTAAATTTATCGTTGCTCGAAAAATATGAAGAAGCACGTGAAAAATGAAACAAATCAATTATTTTTTATTACATCTTATGTATCTGTTATATATTTATTATAGTATAGATATAATAGATATTTGTTATAAGCAGAACTGCTTCAAGTGCTGAAATCTCTCAACGAATACCACTTATAAAAAAATCTTTGAAAACTTTTATTTCTTTCGCTGTACAAAACTTACTTTGATCAAACAAATACAGACGTTAAGATATAATAAAGCGTAGGAATGACTTGTGCGACTTCGGACAAAACTCTGTCCAGGTGGCGAGATTGATACCCTGTTGCTCGTCGATCCTAGAAACCCCCCAGGACGACACAGGACCTCCTGCAGTCATCTATTGCGCTACCAGCGCTAGTCCCCCAGGATATGAGTTTACATCTCGGGACAAACATAATGCATTAGTTACATTCTAGAACCTGGAACGATAAACCACGATGATTCTTCGTTTTCCTTTGAGTCATTTAGGCCATTTCCTCTTCGCTTTAATCATTTCTCAAAACTCATTAAGAATCTTATCAAACCTAGAGTTTTTGAAATATCTTCGATTGTTCTAAACTTTTCTGTTTCCGATGTAAAAAAATCGTATCTTATCAAGTTGATAAAAATAAAAAAAGGAACTGGGCATTTGAATATCACAAAGATATCGTGCGAAGCGGTTATTATATCAAGCTTTTTTATGGATTTATTACACGACGTCGCATATCTAACGTCTGCCAACTTTCATTTCTATTTATATTTACAATGAATCGTATTATGCTCGCATAACTATACATATTCCGCATCACAATGTTTGTTGTACCCACAATAACACACTACCGATATTCCGTGAATACAGTCATCGAGATTGCATTGGATCACAAGCTGCGCTTGTCTATAATTTATCACACGTGCGAACGTCTCGAGTGTAACTGCGATCGAGTGACCACAATAGACCAGCGCTGATGGAGTCCTCCCTTCGGAACGCAAACGACCGTGACAGTACCAACAAACGCAAACAAATTTCTCAGGGGCCTCGTGGCGGGGGAGAGCGGCGGGAAGGCTGGGAACGCTCTCATCGCGTTTTATGCCCTCGCATTATACAGAGACGTATGAAATGTTCTCGTGAAAACCGCATGTCGTCGCGAGTCTTCTCCTCTTCTCGGCGTGCCGCTCGACAATAGCGATGCACAATGCTCGCCAAATTACGGCTGTTCCAGTCAAAATACGGTTTTCTACGGTCTTCTCTCCTCTTATCCCTCTTTCTCTCGCGCTCTCTGTCACCCTCTCCATCCCGTTTTTGCCCGGGACCCGTTCTCTGTTTCGGTAATCGCGATCGGCCATCTACGGCCACCGTGCATCGGGTGACCGCAAACTGCAGCTGTATTTTCGGTTATCGCCGATCACCGATCTGCGGATTTTCGGTTTTTACGGGAGGCACGAGGGGGCGAAGGAGGAAAGACCGGGTTCCCGCCATTACTTCGCTTTTTACCGCTAGCTACAACGTTCTATTCGGCGCTTCTCGATGCGCGTACTTAGGGCGCCTCCGTGTACTCGCGTTTCCGACGAACGCATTTGTGCCGCGCTTCCAGAGTTTTGTTTCACGCCGCGTTTAAAACGGAATTTGCCTCTTCGTGATATTTCGTCAAATGCAATTTTATTTATCGGTAGCTGAAATCTGATCTATTAATAGCATTATTTATTGTAATTATGCTTTTCACATGCTTGTTTTCTATTTTTTAAAGCTTGGATATACTTATTTCAGTTTCAATGCAAAAAGTAAAAGCCTGAGCGTGACTGAAACGGGCGGATTTAAAGCCTTTTAGCTTATCGCGAAAATAACGTGTCAATCAGAGATACAGTCGCTTCCTTTCTGAGGATCATCTCACAGCTCATCTCACAATTTTTCTTCCCTGCGTAACGGACGCGAGTTTCATTCTTTGCGTCTTTTTTTTTTTTCATGTTTCTCGCGTACCGAAAAAATTTATCGTTAAGAACTCCTCGCGCGAGCGATAGAGAAAATCTAGTATGGGCGCGAGGGCGAGCGTTAAGCAGCTGTCGCCCATTCGACGCCATTGTCGCGCGATGTTTGAGTGTTCCCGAACAGTGGAGAACGGCTCCGGTATTGTCCTGCCGTTGCTGAGATCTGCCGATTACCAGGACGCGCGCGATACCATCTATCTCATCTGCATCGGGGCACACACACACACACACACACACACACACGCCGTATCCGCCTCTCTCTCCTTCTTTCTCGATTTTTTCTGCGCCTACATAAATACGTGTCTACAGGCATGTACCCCTGCCCACAGAAATGTATCCCCGTTCCTCTCCCATAGGAGTGCACGAAGACGAAGTCTTCCGGTCAAACGCCGTCCGAGGCGTAGTTAGATGTCGAGATATTGCGCAAACGGCTGCTTCTGCGCAACTGACCCGACTATCCCTTAGGTGCCTTGTATCACGTGGAAAATTTGCCGACGAGATTCGTCGAGTCGAGTCTCGAGTCGGCAAAAATGGGGTGCGTGTCGTCGCCATTGTGCCCGGGACCATCGGATTGCCGCGGCTTGATGGGATGCTGCTTGTTGCCGAGATTGCTCTCTTGTTAACAAGATTGAATGTCTCGCAGATAAATTTAAGTTCTCATGCGAGGAAAGTTTAACAAAGAATTTCTGCAGAAGAAATTCTATCTTGAGCTGCTTTATTTGTGTTTTTCGAATATTGAAAAGTATTTTGTATAAGTAATTATAAAATTATACAAAATAGCTTGATTATAGCCTCTAAATAAATATATCGACAGGCAGATATCATCGACACGATGAGAACGCGATGCATTTTGGAAACAATGTCTCCTTTCTGCCGTGCAGCAGTTTATAAAATGTATGTAGACAGACATAGGCAGAGCGTTTCGATGCGAGTGCGATAAGCTATCGGCATTATGCAGCCGCTTATAAAAACTCGATTGTCGTCGAACGGGCGAACAGGATTAATCTCGATCAGGCTCTCTTTTTTTCGCGGCCGGTGAATATATCGAAATGTTTTCTCTGCGAGAAATAATGCTGATTTATAACCCGCGTTAATTCGAGATCGCACGGCGATTGCGAGGTTGAAGTATAAAAAATGTATTTTTGGAAAACGTCCAATAGCGCGCGCGCGCGCGCGCGACCGAAAAAGGGCTTATCTGATTCGCGCCAGTTACGAGAGAGATACATCGAGGCTCTGCTTCGATTTCTCCAAGGGCCGTTATTAAATTTTTAATGGCTTCCATAATCTCCTCTTTAACACGCAGCAATGCGAGACAACGCGATGAAATATTTTGTGATAATCGGCGCTTTTCGTTCAGTCGATCGTTCATTTAATTTGTCGTTCAGTGGATTAAAATTTGTTTAATCTCGTCGGCGAACGGTGTTGATTAATCTACGCGATTTTTAGGGGCGAGCACACATTCGAGTGGACCCACAGCGACGGCGGTCGCAGAAAGGAGAAAGTTACAATCCCGACAATTAATTACCACGTACCAAGACGCGATAATTCATCGACGTCCTGTCAGCGATCCTTTCCGCCTCGGTCGACGTCAATTGTCCGTTTAGGAGCCGAGCGCGACTCTCTCAAGGCATCTTTCTTTTCCCTCCCTCGCAACATTTTTTCAAATTTCTTAGGATGGCCTCGTTATGCACGCATCGACGAGCACGCGTGCGGAGCGCAGAAGGATACTCTCTTCTGTTGCAAAAAACAAATGTTCTCAGAAAACACGAGAGATGCAACGCTTTTATTATTGACGAAGCGTTTGGCAAATGCTCCCCGTAACGACGCGTGCATGCGAATGCCACCATGAAGCAGTCGATGAAAAAAGGCTTCACTCTTTTCGCTTACATGTAACAATATTATATATAAACTGTCTTGTTTATGATGCAATTAATTAAGTAACAAACAATCTGAAGAGTTGATGATTATTTAGAAATACGTATATATATTTAATTATTAATATATGAAAGTGAAACTAATAATTATATAAATAATAATATGAAATATTATTTTCCACTTATATATAACAAAAAATAAATTAATTTTTTATTGACAAAAACTTGCGCGAGAGAAATGAAATAAAACTACAAAGTGTATATCCGAATATGCGAACACGACATCGCGATACGTGGCAGTATTCTGCGGAATATGCGAATTTTTGGATAAAATTGTAACGGCTTTCATGCATATGAACTCGTGTTTTCGCGCGAACGTGAATTTCGTTGGTGTCGATGCGTTACTCAGCCAGGAACGGATAGACGTTCGGAAATGCTCTTGTTTTCAGCGTCTTTTTTCTCAATCACCAATCAATTATATCATTAATGATAATTTACGAAATCGCAGATTCTATAAACTAGAATTTCTATATTAATTATTTTTTTGTCGAATTTATTATCAAATATTTTTATATACACTCAAAAAATGATCTTGCAATAATAGCTAAATTTTACTAGGTGTAAAAATTAACTAAAACTAAGATAAATGATTAGCAACTGTTGTGATATTGCATATGTAATTACTTAATCAGTTTAGATGACAGAAACAGAATATATATCTGTATTGTTTGTGAACTTTAAAAAGAAAGTTTCTCTAAAGCGCCTATCTATATAAGATCAATCACGTGTTAGATCATGCAATGAATAACATTTAGCAATGGTACCTAAATTTTTCAGAAGCTATTGCTAGAACATTACTGCTATAAATTCTATATGTGACAAACAATGTTTTCACAGATACGAAAAATAGCGATACATTCTTGTTGCGATATCTAGAAATCTAACTACATCAGCGAAATATTTTTTTGAGTGTATCATTGAGAGCATATTTTATTCAATACATTTACTAACACAATAACTAGAAATTAATTATACTCAAGCTGACACGAACATTTCTGGTGATTGAAAAGTGCAAGACGCGATTTTTTACGTCTGACGAGTGTGAAAGAAATCGTAACGTTATAATTTCATAGAATTTAGTTCGCATAATTTATTTTTGATATATCTTACCGCATTATCGTTTCACAATACATATATGCAAATGCGTTGCTTTGCGCGACGGCATAACGGCGAATACGACGACAGGAATTGCACTGTGTGACGGATAAACGACGGAGAGACATCGAAATCGATTATAGTGATTCGCCACCGCAAACTCGTGTTACCAATTCGATCGGTCACGGCATCGATATGACTTGATTGACAGTGGAAACGGAGTTCAGGTTGATCGTCTCGATGCCGACCTTTCCGATGAGTCTGTTGTCGCCAGTCGCGAGAACCAAACATATCCCGACGCTTACAGAGAGAAGTCGTTTTATGGAAAGGATATCCGCGTATCCGTTGTACGCGGTAAGTCTGCAACGATTGTGATAAAACATAATTATAGATGTAGCAATAGATCGGATTAATGGCTAGCATTATAGATTAGCATTGTGATTGTTAAAATTAACAATCTTTAGACAAGTAGCACAACATAATAAGCTCGCAGTAATAAAATTAGTTGAGTACTTACAAGATTTCTTCTCTAATAATTTTTCTTTAAGTATTATTAATAAAATATAATGATAATTGGGATCGAGAGCCAATGCCGGATGTTTTTTGCAGTTTATTCTTTTTCCAAATTTTCTTTATTGAAGAGCAGTATACGTTTCGGCCACTATCGGGCCATCTTCAGTACAAAAACTAAAATTCAACGGTTATAATTACAAATACATTCTCGGTAGTGTAAATTAATTCCTTGTAACATACCTGGTATTTTAAAAAGAATCCATTAAAACAGACTGAATCGCATGTTGTGTGTGTTAGGTGAACATTACTGTGTGATAAAAGATATTTGAATTAGAAAAGAAAGAAACTGGTCACGAGAAACGCATTGAAAAACAAAAACAAAAAATAAGAATAATGATAATAAAATAATGAAAAAGAATAAAAAATATCTAAAATGTTAATTACTTGTGTAACGTGTTAGCAATTGATGTCTAGTGAAGTCAGAGGCTACCTGCGTGAGGTCGAAACGGGTAAAACGTACGGTACAGAAAGAAACTAAACGTTATTGTGGAAGGGGGAATTTAGGAAGGAGGATTAAGACGGTAACGATTTTATGATAGGTAAATAGGCTTCGGACAGAAGGTTTGTGTCGCTCTGTTTATTAATGGCCGATTTTTGGCGTTTAATATGAATCATCTCTGATGTAAGTCTCTTCCCACAAACAATAAGAGTTCTCCCTATCCATTATCTCCACATTTTCCCAATCAAAGCTGTGATCAAAATCAATGCGGTGCAACGATATTACGGAGAGATTGTTGGAATTAATGTTGTTCTTGTGTTTATTAATTCTGGTTTTCAATTGTCTTTTTGTCTGTCCGATATATGTTGCTTGGCAATCATTACAAGAAATTTTGTAAACCACATTGCACTGTGAAAATTTGTTTAAGTTGTCTTTGTGAGTTTTAATAAACATACTTAAATCGTTGAAACGTGAGAAGGATAATTTTGAATTATATTTTTTTGTTATGAAAGAAAACTTGTCAGAAAAGTCGTTAACATATGGTAAGACAAAATAGTTTTTGTTGTCAGAGTCGTTTTTATTGTTAAAATTGTTATTGTTATTAGTCATATTGTCTTTTTTAAAAAAATGATATTTAAGTCTCGTACGTATATTGTTGAAAAGGAAAGGAAGGGGGTATCCATTCATAAGGAGTGTGTCTATTATATTTGTGAGGTTTTTTTGATGGAATCTAGGATGAGACAATAGAAAGGCCCTGTCCACCATATTCATGATAACACCTTTTTTGTGTGTGATAGGGTGTTTCGAATGAAAGTTAAGGAATCTTCCAGAAAATGTGGGTTTGTGATACCAATCTATTATAATCTTATTGTTGTCTATAATAATAGTCACATCCAGAAAACTTATCTGTCTCCCTGATTCTAGCTCAATTGTAAATTTAATTCTGTTGTGCATTGGCGGCGATTTGTCGGTTCGCCATGTGTGGAGTTGGACAACTTGATCGTAAGGGTTGGGGGGGGGGGGGACGAAAAAGTTTTCAGAATTAATTTAATTTTCATATTAAAATTTTTTTATTATAAGAAATTATACACAATGATGAGCAACAAAATTGTGAATATTTTATAC